GCTGGCAGGGGGCCGCGGGCGGGGCCGGGGGCGGGGCTTTGGGCTGCAACCCCCCCACCTCCAGCACTGCCGCGTCCAGCGTGCTCCTGCTGTACCTGGGGCACACCAGAGCGGGCCATCTCCAAAAAGCATCTCTGACCCCGGTGGTCTTTCCTGCCCGAGTGCAAGCAGGGCTGGCCCCCACGATCTGCGCCGTCCCTTCCAGCCCCTAACATCTTTGCAAGGATGAAAGCCAGGCCCTTCCCAACCCTACACCCAGCGGAGAAACCACAGACCCACTCACAAGCCGTGGGTGCAGTTGTGCCGCTTGGAGGGAAGGCTGCAAGCCACCCACGTCGTGGAGGCCCGTTCCAGACTCACATGATCACTCAGGTCACATCTAGTCCAACCCTTGCTCCAAGCAGGACCAGCCCCACCTACATCATCCCAGCCAAGGCTTTGCCTACCCGGGGCTTAAACACCTCCAAGGATGGAGATTGCACCACCCCTCTGGGTAACCTGTTCCAGCACTTTACTACCCTCCTCGTGAGAAAGTTTTTCCTAATATCCAGCCTCCCTTCCCTTGCTGCAGCTTGAGCCCATTGCTCCTTGTCCTGCCGTCTGCCCCCATGGAACCAATCCTTTTCCGAACTGAAGGGTGCTATCAAATCCCCCCTCTGTCTTGTCTTCTCCAGACTAAATAAGCCCAATTCTGTCACCAGCCCTGTCCCCCAGCCCCCCAACCGTTTTTGCTGCTCTCCAATGTGTCCACATCCTTTCTGCAGTGGAGGGGGGTGGGGCACAGCTGGACACAGGACTCCAGATGTGGCCTCCCCAGTGCTGCATAGAGGGGAAGAATCACTGCCCTCCATCTGCTGACAACGCTCACTCCCCTCCCTTGGTGTGGAGACCTTTAATACCCTTCCCACTGACAGGCCCGTCTTCCTGCCCATTGCTCCTCTGAGGTGAGGATCACTTGGCCCATTGACTAGGGAGCATGGGAACCGAGTCAGACTTCCTGAGCTATGACACAGCACAAAAACAGCACAGGCAACTGGGACTTGCTGCTCTCAAAGGAGCTTTATTGCAACAATAAAGCTAACACACACACCCCTACCAAGGTGGCAACAGCTTCCTATTGACGTTGTCATGTCAGCCCTCAGGAAGGGAGTTGCACCTTGCTACCACATCTCCCTTTCTCAAGATTTCCAAAGAACTGCACAATCTTTTTGAGAGGAGAGGTTGCAAGCACACCACGGCCTTGCAAGTCTTTACCACTTCCCTACAAAACGAGAAAAATCACAGCAAAAAATATCAACAAGCCTTTCATTTAAAGCAGATAGGTTCACCAATGGTGTCTCCTGGGGGGGGCCGGCACACACCCTGCCCTAGGGCAGTCAAGAGGTAGGATATGATGGAGAAGACCTCTGTAGGAAGGAGTTCTCCCCTGGAAAGAGAACACGTGCGGCTGCGCGGCACCCCGGAGACTCTCTCTGGCAATGTGTCAACGTTTCCCCAGGGAAGCGGAGCGCCGCCGGCTCCTCCCTCCCTGCTGGCCCACTCGTGCGTGCACCCCCGCTCCCACCCAGTGATCTTTGCTTTTGCATCGCTCAAGGCCGCCCTTATCGCGCTGTTTGGGGAGCGGGTCACGGCCCCGCCGTGCGTCTGCAACGGCCCTGGACCCGCGTCTGACGTCAGCGCCGCGCCCCCGCCCCGCCCCTCGGCCGTGGGCGGAGCCAAAGAGCAGGCCCAATGCCAACGGAGCTTTGTGTCACGTGACTGGGCGTGATGCCACTTCCGACTAAACAGCGGGATGACGGGAGAGTGGAGGGGAAGTCATGTGACGGGGATGTCACGTGTAAGGCGAGCGTGGGTGGGGCGGGTCCGCATGAGGAGGACTAGCCAATGGCAGCAGCTCCCCCGAATGAGCCCCGGCCCAATGGGGAAGCGAGCGCCTGCCTCACGTGCCCGCCAAGCCCCGCCCCTGCAGGGCCCGGGAGGCGGAACCCACAGGGGGTCACGTGAGCGCGTCCCTAGTCACCGCACAGCCAATGGGCGCACCGCCCCCTCTCACGTGACCCGGCGGAC